CAGGAAAAGGACGCTAGGCACAAAACTAAAGACTAAACCAGCCTAGGGGCGGCCCCTGCTGGTAGCCAAACCCCCCACCTGCTGACAAGTCTCCAGTAAGTAACAGAGTACACACTCAATAGAGAGGGCGGGACCTGTGTCCTTCAATGAACGGAGAGAAAAGGATTTCACGATGAGTACAAAAATCCTATTTTTCTCTTCCGTTCATTGAAGGACACAGGGAACAGATCGTAGATCATGTACCGTAGGGACGTCACCAAGCAGTACCAGATTGAGGGGTGGGCACAAAAGAAAACCAACATTCCCCAACAAGACCCCAATAAAGGGCCGTCTGCAAAACCTTGCGCCCCAAGCCAGCATCCGCAGATGCCAAAACATCCACCTTATAAAACTTGGCAAAGGTGTGAACAGAAGACCAAGTAGCGGTCTTACAAACCTGAGAAACTGAGGCACCATGACAAAAAGCCCAAGATGCCCCAACAGCCCTAGTGGAATGGGCAGTAACAGAAAAAGGAGGCTCACGCCCCAAATGGCATACGACTGAACAATGGTGTTACAAATCCATCTAGGAGGTGGTGGCCGAGGACGCGGCCCGCCCCTTCCTAGGCCCTTCCGTAATCACAAACAGGGAATCCGATTAACGGATAGAGGCAGTCACATCCAAATAAATCCGGAGGGCGCGTACCACGTCCAAACAATGCAGTGCCCTCTCCATTCTATGAAGGGCTTTGGACAAAGAGAAGGCAAGACTATGTCCTCATTCAGATGAAACGTCGAAACAACCTTAGGTTGAAACGACGGGTGAGGACACAGAACAACCTTGTCCCTATGAAGGACCAACAACGGCGACTTGCAAGACGAGGCCGCCAACTCCGAAACCCTACAGAGGCAATAGCGACCAAAAAAATAAGCCACCTTCAGGGACAGACTCAGAAGAGGATTCTCCCGTAACGGTTCAAAAGGAGACCCCTGCAAAACCAAGAGTACCAAATTGAGAACCCTAGGCGGCAAGGCAGATCGAACAGGAGGGACAATACGAGTAACCCCCTGCACAAAAGGTGCGAACCAAGGCATTCAACGCCAATGGTCGCTGAAAAAGAACAGCCAGAGCCGAAATTTGGCCCTTCACCGTACTCAGGGCCAACCTGTGATCCACTCCACGTTGCAAAAAAGCAAGATTTCTGGAAATAACAGGATCAGACAAACCACAGTCTCTCAACACCTGGTTCTCAACAGCCCCGCCTTTAAAGCCAGCGACTGTAAAGGATGGCACACAGGCCCCTGGGACAGAAGATCTGGACAAAGCGGCACCCGCCAAGGAACGTCCATGACCAACTGAATCACATCTGCGAACCACACTCTCCTCCAGTCCAGAGCCACGAGGATGACGAGAATGCCTTCGGCCGCTATCCTGTGAAGAAGGTGCGGCAACAGAGAACAGAGGGGGGGACCCATAGTTCAGACCGTACCGGTCCCACGGGGCTACCAGGGCATCCACCGCCACTGCCCAGGTATCCTGGGCCAGGAACCAATCGACCTGTCGGTTGAACCCTAATGCCAGGAGGTCCACATCCGGTGTCCCCCAGTGCAGGCAGAGCTAATGAAAGACCATTCCCCCTGATCCACTGATTGGCGACTAAGATAGTCGGCCCACCAATAGTCCACTCGCTGAATGTATACTGCGGAAAGAGCCAGAACATGCTCCTCCGCCCAGGAGATGATCACCTCCCGTGCTGTGGCCACGCTTCTTGTGCCGCCTTGATGGTTGACATTGGCCATGGTGTTGTCTGACGGAACTCGGACCGACAGGCCCCGAAGACGACTTGTCTAATGCTGGAGAGACAGCCGAATTGCCCGAAGCTCCATCACAGTGATCGACAGACGAGACTCCTCCAATGACCAACACCCCTGCGTCATCCACATGCCCAAGACACACCCCCTTCCAGCCCAGAAGGCTGGCATCCGTGGTGACCACCGTCCAGCACATGGGAAGAAAGAATTTTCCTGCCACCAGAGCCGGAAAGTGCAGCCACCAAACGGGGGACACCCTCAACGCCCGAGACACCTGAACCTCCCTGTCCAACGACAAGGGCGACTTGTCCCACTGCGACAAGATGTCCCCCTGAAGAGTCCTGGTGTGATGTTGCTCCTTCCTGGGCACAGTAAATAGGTTTGAATAAAACCCTTTGAACCTCTCCGAGGAGGGCACCGGGAAGATCTCTCCCTGAGACAAGAGGTCTGCCACCGCGCAGTAAAAGTCTGCGAGCCTCTGCGGAGAGAGGCACGTGTTGGAAGGGAAGAACCTGTCCCCGGGATGTGACAGAATTCCATCTCGTAACCCGAGGACACCAGTTCCCACAGGAGTTGGAGACGCAGGACAACCAGAGATCTGGAAAGAGTCGAAGGCGCCTCCCACCGTGGAAACCGAAGAAGCTTTCGGCTGCCATGGATTCTTGGCGCCCTAGCCAGGGGGGGGGGGGCTTACTAAATTTACCGCCCTTCTCCGAGGACGGAGGCGGCCGAAACAGCCTCTTTTGAGTGGAAAAGGAAAGACCCGGCTTGTGCCGCTGATCTCTCGGGCTTCTTAGCTTGAGGCAGAAAAGTACTTTTCCCGCCCATGAGATCTTTAATGATCTCATCCAGTGTAGCTCCAAACAAACGATCCCCAGTAAAGGGAAGCTCCGTCAGAGCCTTCTTGAAAGCCTGATCAGCAGACCAGCACTGCAACCAAAGCAGTCGGCGGAGCCTAACCGCCGACACCGACAGTTTTGACACAAGCGGAGTAGCATGCAGGGCCGAGTTACAAACAAACTTAAGGCCCTGCACCAACTGGGCAGCCAACTCAATATAAGCAGGAGAAACGTTCTACTCAGCGAGACCCTGGTGCAACAACTTAGACCAATCCAGAGTTTGAGAGAGTAAAGCCGAGGCCAACATTGGACGCATAAGAGCACCCGAAACAGAGTATATGGTCCTGGACAAGGCCTCCGCCTTCCTATCAGTGGGATCCCGAAAGGAAGGGAAAACCTCCACTGGAATAACAGTAGCTTTGTTTAGACGCGATACCAAAGGATCCACCGCAGGAGTTGTTGCCCACATAGTCAAAAACGACTCCTAAAAAGGGTAACGGACTGAGAAGCGCTCAGGAACCGAAAAGGACGTAGTCGTTCGCTTCCACCCCTTGTAGAGGAAATCATCAAAGAAAGGAATATAAGGGAAGACCCTAGTGGAAAGTTTACTTTTATGCATCCCAAACTGAACTGGAGGAAGCGCAGGACTCCTCAATTTTGAGTGTCTCCCTGACAGAACGAATCAGGACAGAGACCAATTCGCGCTCCTGAAACATAAGGGAAGCGCTCGACTCATCCTCACTACCTGAATCTGGTAGGGAAGAATCCCCCAGGCCAGGGTGGGATGCGGCCGCAGGAATGTCACCCTCCTCCTCCGACTGAAAGGATAGGGGAAGGTGACGGCAGAGCGTGCTTCTTAAGGGGCCTCTGCGTCAAGGTGCGTTACAAAACTGTCCATGGTAGAAACACCTCTAAGGGCGGTGCTGGTGGTACTGACCATCCCCACCGCACACCTGAGGAGGGCAAAGGAGACTGGGAGATAGGCGCTGGTGTACAGGATGCACAGAGAGAAGAATAGGAATTCTCTAAAGGGCGCCCACAGCCCTCACATAGCACCGTGGATGACTGTTCACTGCATCCATGGTGCCCGCCACCAGCGCACATATCAATCGCACCAGAGAGCAAAACAGCAGGCAGAGGGGGACCGCATAGTACTCACGACCCTGTGGGTTAGTGGAAAGCCACAGCAGTCCGACTCCCGGTCTCCAGATCTGCCCCCTAGGAAAAGTAGCAGCAGCAGCAGGGGTACATCTGACTCCCTGCGATCCTCCGACAAAAATACCATGGGGTCAAAGCGAAGTCCCTGCCATCGACCCTCGTCCGTGTACTGTCCTAGGGGGGCCACCCCACGGAACCAGATCCAGACAGCCAAAACACCGGGGATGCAGGGACGGCGGAAAAAAACGCCCCCGACCGTAGTCGCGGCGCCACCAGCCTGTATGGAATGCTGTGACTGGTGTGCCGAGACCCCCAGTCGTATGCACCCCACCAGGGCCAACCCACAGGCCAGTCTGCCGAAAAGGCAGAGTCGTTGCAGCCGATCCACCGTGGCAGAGTCTGCATGCGTTCGACGTTCGTACAGGGGAGACTCCAAGGATCCACAACATCCAGCCTGTCGCCCTGACAACACTTGCTAGAAGGTCAAGAAAAAAAAAAAAAAAAAAGGACGAATCAGCAACGAATTCAAGGGAGAAAAAATTTAGAGCTCCTTACTCCTGACGCTAGGCAAAAAACTGGAGACTTGTCAGCAGGTGGGGGGTTTTGGCCACCAGCAGGGGCCGCCCCTTGGCTGGTTAAGTCTTCTGTTTTGTGCCTAACGTCCTTCTCCTGCAGGGGGCGATATACCCTACGGTACATGATCTACGATCTGTTCCCTGTGTCCTTCAATGAACAGAAGAGAAAGCAGTGTTTTAAATATATTAATTTCAATATACCATCAAAAGTTCAAGCTTTTGTTTTGATATTTACCAACGTACATGCATATTTGTGAAAGCAAGCACTGACTGTTGTTGATCACATTAGAGATTATTAAAGTTGTGGACACAGGTTTAGTGTACATTATTGCGTTTAAATTTGTGCTAAACATATACAAACCCTGTATGTTCTATTCACGCGCATTTAACATGCATCTGCATCTGCATTCAGATGTGCTGCATCTGCATTCAGAATAAGAATTATTTTCCAAGTGACCCACTGAAAAGCCATAATGCAATGCAAATGCGGTTTACTCATTGATATGATACAATTATCTCGCTAATGATAAAGATCAGTATCTAGTTTTTTCACTAACACCGAAAGTACTCTTTAGAAAAAGAAAAAAAACGGGATTTTTTTAAGCAAACAAAAAAAAGTAGTTTGATGCCTTTTTACCTTCTCGGAGCGCCACTTTCTCATAAGGAGGATATTTAGCCTTGCTAGTTATTACAGATAGATCCTCTCGACTTTTCTTTAATATCTTTTTAGCCCCCCTCAAGCCTCGCAGCTTCCAAAATTCAGCTCTTGGTCCCGAAGATGGCTGGGGTTTGAGGACATTCTCTAAGCTAGCATACTGCTCTGCCCTAAAGAAGATAAAACCGTAAGCATAGGAGTACTATGGAAAGAGACATTGTAAATACGTAAAGCAGAACTCCAGGAATTTGAAACATTAACCCTTGCAGTTATGGTACCTCCGCACTGCAAGGGTTAACTGCTTGTTTTGTCTAGGGAGCGGAAAAAAAGACACACTCACCCAATCCTTGGTCCTGCCTGACTACTAGACTGGTTCCCACAGCCTCTTCTCCCCGGGCCGGTGGTCTAAGGATCTGTGAAGTCATCACGGATAATGCAGAGGAACATACCTTATTCTTACCATATACCATATTCTTGTTTTCTCCCACCTATGCATTTGTTGCAACCTCGCCAACACCCCTTTCCCCCTCTTCAACTACAACCTTGTCAGTTTCACACTCACCCTATCCCCAACCCTAAATCCCCCTACACGGCACACTGTCACCCAGAGAACCCTTCTCTTCTCCACTCTGCTACAGACTACCTCTATGACAAAATCTCACCCCTGTCCTGCCTGGCAACTTGTGTCTAACAGCTCACTCTCATCCTCCCTAGACACCTTAGCTCCCCTCACTACACGCAGACTTAGACCACGTCCGCTACAACTGTAAAAAGACATAGCCGCACTCACGAGCGACTGTGGCGGAAAACTAGGTCTCTGCAAGACTTCACCCTGTATAAAGCTGCCCTCCTAAAATACACTGCTCAAAAAAATTAAAGGAACACTTTTTAATCAGAGTATAGCATCAAGTCAATGAAATCCTGGGATATTGATCAGGTCAGCCAAGTAGCAGAGGGGGTCATTAATCAGTTTCAGCTGCTTTGGTGTTAATGAAATTAACAACAGGTGCACTAGATGGGCAACAATGAGACGACCTCCAAAACAGGAATGGTTTTACAGGTGGAGGCCACTTAAATTTTTTCCCTACTCATCTTTTCTGACTGTTTTTCACTAGTTTTGCATTTGGCTAGAGTCAGTGTCACTACTGGTAGCATGAGGCGATACCTGGACCCTATAGAGATTGCACAGGCATGCCAACTCCTCCAGGATGGTAAATCAATACGTGCCACTGGCAGAAGGTTTGCGGTGTCTCCCAGCACAGTCTCAAGAGCATGGAGGAGATTCCAGGACTCAGGCAGTTACTCTATGAGAGCTGGACAGGGCCGTAGAAGGTCTTAACCCATCAGCAGGACCAGTATCTGCTCCTTTGTGCAAGGAGGAACAGGATGAGCACTGCCAGAGCCCTACAAAATGACCTCCAGCAGGCCACTGGTGTGAATGTCTCCGACCAATCAAACAGACTTCATGAGGGTCGCCTGAGGGCCCGACGTCCTCTAGTGGCTCTGTGTTCACTGCCCGGCACCATGGAGGTCGATTGGCATTTGCCATTGAACAGCAGAATTGGCAGGCCCGCCACTGGCGCCCTATGCTTTTCACAGATGAGAGCAGATTCACCCTGAGCACATGTGACATACGTGAAAGGGTCTGGAGAAGCCGTGAAGAACGTTATGCTGCCTGTAACATAGTTCAGCTTGACTGGTTGAGTGGTGGGTCAGTGATGGTCTGGGGAGGCATATCCATGGAGGGACGCACAGACCTCTACAGGCTAGACAATGGCACCCTGACTGCCATTAGGTATCGGGATAAAATCCTTGGACCCATTATGGAGACCCTACGCTGGTGCAGTGGGTCTTGGGTTCCTCCTGGTGCACGACAATGCCTGGCCTCATATGGCAAGAGTATGCAGCCAGTTGCTTGAGGATGAAGGAATTGATACCATTAAATGGCCCCCATGCTCGCCTGACCTGAATCCAATAGAACACCCCTGGGACATTATGTCTTGGTTGATCCGACGCCGCCAGGTTGCACCTGAGCCTGTTCAGGAGCTCAGTGATGCCCTGGTCCAGATCTGGGAGTAGATACCCCAGGACGCCATCGGTCCTCTCATTAGGAGCATGCCCCGTTGTCAGGCACCCATACAAGCACGTGGGAGCCATACAAACTAATGAGTACCATTTTGAGTTGCTGCAATGACATTTCAGCACAATGGACTAGCCTTCTGCATCATTTGTTCACTTTGATTTTTGGGGTGTCTTTGAATTCAGCCCTCTGTAGGTTGATAATTTTTCATTTTCATCAAACGATGTGGCACTATTTCGTTCCTAAAACATTACCCAGTCCAGTATACAGTAGATATCCAGCATTATATTTTTCTCCATTGAGTTTTGATGTGTTTTCAAAGTGTTCCTTTAATTTTTTGGAGCAGTATACAATTACTCCCTCCGTACTGCCAAACAAACTTAATTTTGTCACTCTCATTAACACACACTCATCCAAACCTCGTCAACTCTTTTCTACCTTTAAGTCCCCCTCCAACTCAAAATAGATACAATTTGGGATCAGATCGCCACTGTCCAGTCATCTTCCCCTATTAATGTACCAGAGCCACCATCACACTTGTTATTTTCCTCTTGGTGGTTACAAAGCTTCTCTCCGACACCCACCTCACCACTTGCCACCTAGACCCTCAACACTACTTTGGTCACCCGCTTCCTCTATCCTACACTCTCTTACTCACATTTTCAATCTTTCACTCTCTACAGGCATCTTTCCGTCCCCTCTAAAACATGCGCTGGTCACCCCAATACCCAAAAAACCCTCACTGGACCCTACCAACCTCAACAATCTCAGACCTATTTCTTTACTCCCATTCACCTCCAAACTACTAGAACGCCTTTATCTACAACCGTCTGAGTCACCACCTCGCTAATAAAAACGTTTTGGACCCCTTACAATCCAGCTTTCGCTCCGCACACTCCACTGAAACCGCTCTCTTAAAACTCACCAATGACCTACTAACTGCTAAAAACAATGGCCACTACTCATTCTTGCTGGTAGACCTTTATGCTGCTTTTGACACTGTTGATCACCTGCTCCGCCTCAAAAAAACTCCTCGCTTGGTCTACAAGATGCTGCTCTCTCATGGTTATCCTCCTACCTAGCTAAGCGCTCCTTTAGTGTCACCTACAAATCTAACCCCTCCCCTCCTCTTTCTGTAGGGGTTCCCCAAGGCTCTGTCCTTGGACTCCTTCTCTTCTCTATCTACACCACCTCTCTTGGTCAGTTAATAACCTTACATGGCTTCCAATACCATCTCTATGCCGATGACACTCAAATATATCTTTCTACTCCACAACTCAGCCCCTCAGTGTCCTTGCGTGTAACTAATCTACTAACTGACAAAGCCGTCTGGATGTCACAACACTTCTTAAAACTCAACCTTTCAAAAACTGAGCTCTTGATATTTCCTCCTGCCCGAGCACCTTCCCCCAACATTTGCCTCGAGATTGATAACACAACCATCCATCCCTCCCCTCATGCCAAGGTGCTAGGTGTCATCCTGGACTCGGACCTCACCTTTCTTCCCCACATCCAATCACTATCCAAATCCTAATAATCAATACGATCTGCGCCAGTAGAGTGTAGTGAACGTTACCAAGCACTAATGATCATAAAATCAGAATGAATATAAATAATATGCCGAGCACATTATTTACAATCCAAATCCTGCCGCCTTCACCTTCGTAACATCTCCAAAATACGCCCCTTCCTCACCAATGAAACCATTAAGCTACTCATCCACTCCCTTGTTATCTCCTGTCTTGACTATTGCAACTCCCTCCTCATTGGCCTTCCACTACACAGGCTATCCCCCTTCAGTCTATCATGAATGCAGCTGCTAGACTCATCCACCTGACCAACCTCTCAGTGTCTGCAACCTCCCTCTGCCAATCCCTGCACTGGCTTCCACTCATCCAAAGGATAGAATTCAAAAATATTAACTATCACTTATAAAGCCATCCACAACTCTGCCCCCGGATATGTCTCAAAATATTACCCTAACCGTCCCCTCTGCTCCTCCCAAGACCACCTGCTTTCCAGGTCTCTTGTCAACTCCTCCCATACTCGCCTCCAGGACTTCTCTAGAGAGTCTCTCATCCTCTGGAACTCTTTACCCCAACCTGTCCATCTCCCACCTTGACTGCCTTTAGGTGTTCCCTAAAGACTCATCTCTTCAGGGAAGCCTATCCCACCTCAACCTAACCACTGAACCATCACATTCTCAAACAATTCATCCCCACACAGCTACCTCCTCATGTATCACTTGACCCTCCCTTTTAGATTGTAAGCCCTCAGGGACAGGGCACTCCTTACCATCTTGTCTTGAATTGTATTGTGATTGCAATGTCTTCCTTATATTGTAAAGCGCTGCGCAAACTGTTGGTGCTATATAAATCCTGTATAATAATAATACCATAGCCGTAGCATAGTGGCAGAGAGGCGAGTGGTCACTGCCACAGGACTGAGGATCGGGTGAGTGTTTCTTATTTATTTTCACCCCTAGAGAAAAACGAGCAGTTAACCCTTGCAATGTGGGGGTAGCCCCACTGCAAGGGTTAACTTTTAAAAATCCGGGAGTTCTTTAAATATAAAATATAAAAAAGATCAGAATTATAAAATTAAATTTACCTTGACTTATTTGGTATAATTCCTTTTTTCATCTCCTTCAAATCTTTTCCAACACGGGTAGCAAGCCAATTCCCCAATTTTCCACGGTGCATTGTGTCGAAAACATGGAATATCTCACCCCTTGTAAAACTCAGGCCAGATGGGGTATCTGCTTCATATTCAAAGTGTGTACGAATATAGAAGGAGTCACCCAAATTAGACTTAATCATTTTTCTGTAAACTAAAACAAAATTTGTGTCAGAAAATAGCAAGTGACAGGGATGTACTTTATACAACACAACTGCAAGCTGGTCTGAAATTACATAAAATAGGCCTGCTGACAGTCAATATCCAGGCTGCATTTACAGGAAAAAATAAATGTATATATATATTTTACTCAGAATGTTTTCTATAATTGGACACGCCAGTGCACAATACAGTTATACTGCGAAATAAGCACACAAATTAATTGAATGCAAGACAAAACACATCTCTCACCTTCCTATAAATGTGTGGCTAATGTTAATTTATTCAAAACACCCGAATCAATCTGGAAGCAACAAACTCAAAGAATTGCCCTTGCTGTAACAGGATTTTTTCTTTTAACATCAAAGGCGAGTGTCTTGCACTACATGCCTACCCACGTATGCCAGGTTCTCTAAAAAGGTGGATCCCAAGCAACTTATTGGAATTATGCAAGACAGAACTGAAACTAAACAAACTTTCAGTGCTCATGGTACTTACTGTCTTCTTTACCCTGTGTCAGTAATATAATTTCTTCATTTTGTGGGATGTTCATTAGATACTGCACTGCATCTTCACGTGTCGTGTTATGGAAACTAGTTTCATTGACCTGTAAATAGCAACATTACAAAGGTTTTGAAACTCTGTATTTTTTCAGCATTCAGTTCTAATATAACAAAAATATGGAACTATCTACAGAACACTTTTTACTCTTCTTTAAAGGAATCATCTAACTTATTCAGTTATACCCTATCACAAATACAACCGTGCAAAACATCAAACTGTGTGGTGCTTGTGCATAAACCTTGTGCATGATATAGCTGAGCAGGA